AAAAAAAATCTCCTACTAAGTAAATTTAATGGGTAAACTAGCTTCTTCCCTCACCAATAATTATTTGAATTAAAGACCTATTCTACAGATACTCTGTTGGATAGCTTGAGCCCTCATTTTCATAACTCATTATATTATGAACACTCTTGCATCAAGCCAAGAGGTCCTGCACCATTCTCTCTAAGCCAACGCCTTGTTTTTCTCAAGCCTCTTTTCTCTGCAAGTCTGTGCCTCCCCAAGCTCATGAGCAGAGCTCATGAATACTGAATTCAAATTAGCATCTGCAAACAGGTCCCTAGGTTTTCACTGATATTGTACCTGGAATAAATCAATAAAGACTTTGCTTCTTGTTTATTTACTTAAGTCCTCCTGGCAAGAAAACTGCACATATATCCTCGTATAGAGTGATTTATATTTCAAATACTGATTAGTTTCACAAACAGCACTGCCAGTCTGGGGATCAGGTGGGGTAATACTAAGTAAGGGCAGGATGATTTATTTTAGAACAAAATAATAAAGAGTATTATACAGAACACAGAAGACAAACTAAACTGGAAATGTAATTATAGAATTATTTTGTTATTTTAAAGAAACACTGAATGATTTAATGAATGCTATACTGAATGACTTAATAAATGCTATTTAAAGGATTTTAGAAACTGCATCCTGATTTCAGTAACCCTAAAATTAAAAATATTTCGATCATCAACACTCTGTACACTTTTATGTCCCCTTTGTAGGTTTTCTATTTTGTTTTTGAGATGTTTGAACTATTTATAATGGGTTCTCATGGTACAGAGGTTAGAGCAAGCATTCACTAACTGGAAGGTTAGATAGATGAATCCACTAGTCATTTTGTTATATAGGGTTTTCAGAGGCCTGCTATTTCAGAAGTGGATAGATTGGTGGAAGATCTATCAACAATCTGCGTTATGCAGATGACACAACCCTGCTTGCTGAAACTGAGGAGGACCTCATGTACTTGCTGCTGAAAGTCAAGGACTGCAGCCTCCAATATGGATTGAGACTCAATGTCAAGAAGACAAAGATTCTCACCACTGGACCAATTGGTAGCATCAGGATGGATGGTGAAGAGATTGAGATTGTTCACAGCTTTAGTTTGCTTGGCTCCACAGTCAACATTCTTGGCACCAGCAGCCAGGAAATTAAAAGACGTATTGCGATGGGAAAGTCTGCTGTTAGGGACCTCTCCAAAGTCCTGAAGAGCAATGTTGTCTTTCTGGAGACTAAGGTGCATCTGGTATAGGCCATGGTCTTTGCAATCACTTGTTATGCGTCAGAGAATTGGACAATGACTAGGGAGGATGGGAGGAGAATTGATGCCTTTGAATTGTGGTGCAGG